GGGGGGGTATTTTACGTGAACCATTTTCGTGACTTTTCCCACGAAATCTGAAGTAATTTTTTTTTTTATCTTAAAAAACAATTCAATATCATTCGCATTTTAAAATGTCCTAAAAATGGGGGGGAAAGAGGTAGACATTCTACGAAAGGAGGAGTGAAAAAGCAGTGTATATTCCAAAATGAGGATTTTTTCGTCCCGGGATATTACTAGTACTTAACATTTACAAATGATATTGATATTGGGATTACACACTCTTTATGACGAGAACATTTTGTATGTTCTTATGTAAGGAAATAAATGTTACCATATTGATGGTATTAGATAAGTTATGGGTTTACTAATATGTTGTTCTGTTACGTTACAATTTACATATGACGTCATGATTATATGTGATGTAAGAAGTAAATGGACCTAGTGTTATTGTGATGTTAAGTTGTTAGCGGATATGACGTCATTGTTATGTTTTATGTTTGCATGTTAACAGATATGACGCCATTATTATGTTTACGTGTTAACGGATATGACGTCAGTGTTATTTTAATTCGGTCAGCTGTCCACTTAATTTCGTCTCGCATCAACGACATATCTTACACGACTTTCTGTATCGTCCCTAGGTAATTCACACTAACTTTTAAAAAATCCCGGACTATGTTTTCCAAAATGCGATTAATGTGAGATTATTTTTTTGACGAAATACAGAGATCGATTCTGTAATAAATATGATTATACTTCTGTTATCATGGGTACACAGGTATTTTTTTCTATATGTAGTTATGTCCCTTTTGTCTTAACTGAACAATAACATATTGTGTGCACGTGGTGCAACGGTCGGTGCATAATATATAAGTGTTTTATTTCTTCCTTACATATATACCTACTGTTTATTAGAGGTATCTGATCAATGTGTTTTTACAATAGGGTTGACATATATCTATATTTTGTACTAATTATTCCAGATTTGTTTAACAAATTAAAAATCCACATCAAGTGTTATATTTGCTATTTTTTTATTTTTTTTTATCAAAGACATGGGTTGCCGATTCAATAGTTTCTCTAATATAATAATAATCATTTTGACTGTCATATAAACAAGAAACTCCACGGGAATATGCAAGAAATTTAGAATATGAAAAAGACAGGAAATGTAAAAAAGCCGAAAAGAAAAGGAGACATAAAGATTAGAAAAAGGGAAATAATATAGAATATAGCAGGGAAGAAGAGCGAAGTCACAATAGAGTAAAGAATGAAACTAAACATACAAGGGATAGTGAAGTCACATCAGTACTACAGAACAGGGAAGAAATACACGTACAGCTATAAATAGGAAAAACTGGAAACTATAAAACTGAAGAATAGAAGAGGAAAGCTGTAAAGATTAGTAGAAACACGAAAGAAGTTATAAAACATTAGAACGGAAATGGGCAACTGAAATACAAAGTTAAAATAAAGAGTGAAATACTAATTTAGTAAAATAAGAAAGAAGAGAGGATGTAAAATAAATAAAACAGGGAGCTAGCAAAATGTAGAAACCAAGTGATTAGTTGGAAAGTAGCTTAATAAAGGAGGATACTGTCAAATACAGTTGAAAATGTAGGAAGCTGTATTATCATTTGCTGCAATAGTTTTGTTAACATGATATTCAAAGACAACATATCATTATATCTGAATGTGAAATGATGTGTTCGAACAAATATCTGGAATAAGTTCGAGATATATTTAAATACTATAGCATTAATACATACGACAACATATGAAAAGCCACCGACAGGAACTGAGGTTTCACTAAGACAATTAATAAGATATGATTCTTCAAAGAAAACTGGAGGTAAAAGCACCAGTAGTGCTGTGGAAATCGAAACATTTAGAGAACAACATGTGTAGCCTGTCGTCATATCTCCTGTCCCCACATGGAGCACCTGCCATGATATCTCCTGTCCCCACATGGGGCACCTGCCATGATGTCTCCTGTCCCCACATGTGGCACCTTTCATGATATCTACCATCACCACATGTGGCACCCATCATGATGTCTCTCATCACCATGTGTGGCACCTGTTATGATATCTCCTGGCACCAAGTGTGGCACCTGTCATGATATATCCTATCCCCAAATGTGGCACCTGTCATAATTTATTCTGTCCCTACATGTGGAACCTGTTATGATATCTCCTGTCACCACATGTGACACCTGTCATGATGTCTCCTGTCCCCACATGTGGCACTTGTCATGATATCTCCTGTCACTACCTGCGGCACCTGTCATGATGTTTCCTGTCCCCACATGGAGCACCTGTCATGATGTATCCTGTCCTCTCATGTGGCACCGCTCATGATGTCTCATGTCCCCACATGGGGCACCTGTCATGATGTCTCCTGTCCCCTCATATGGCACCTGTCATGATGTCTCCTGTCCCCACATGTGGCACTTGTCATGATATCTCCTGTCACTACCTGCGGCACCTGTCATGATGTTTCCTGTCCCCACATGGAGCACCTGTCATGATGTATCCTGTCCTCTCATGTGGCACCGCTCATGATGTCTCATGTCCCCACATGGGGCACCTGTCATGATGTCTCCTGTCTCCACATGTGGCACTTGTCATGACTGTCCCTACATGTGGAACCTGTTATGATATCTCCTGTCACCACATGTGACACCTGTCATGATGTCTCCTGTCCCCATATGTGGCACTTGTCATGATGTCTCCTGTCCCCAAATGTGGCACCGGTCATGATGTCTCCTGTCCCCACATGTGGCACCCGTCATGCTTTCTCCTGTCCCCACAAAGGGCACCTGTCATGATATCTCCTGTCCCTACATGTAGCATCCTTCATGATATCTTCTGTCCCCATATGTGGAACATGTCATGATATCTCCTGTTTCCAACTGTGGCACCCGTCATGCTATCCCTTGTCCCAAAATGTGGCACCGGCCATTATATCTCCTGTCCCAACATGGGGCACCTGTCATGATGTCCCCTGTCCCCACATGGGTCACTTGTCATGGTGTCTCCTGTACCCACATGTGGCACCTGTCATGATATCTCCTGTCCCTACATGTGGCACCTGGCATTATATCTCCTGTCACCACATGTGGCACCTGACATGATGGCTCACATCACTATGTGTGGCACCTGTCAAGATGTCTCCCGTCACCAAGTGTGGCACCTTTTCATGATATCTCCTCCCCCCAAATGTGGCACCTGTCATAATTTATTCTGTCCCTACATGGGGAACCTGTTATGATATCTCCTGTCACCACATGTGACACCTGTCATGATGTCTCCTGTCCCCATATGTGGCACTTGTCATGATGTCTCCTGTCCCCACATGTGGCACCTGTCATGATGTCTCCTGTCCCCAAATGTGGCACCGGTCATGATGTCTCCTGTCCCCACATGTGGCACCCGTCATGCTTTCTCCTGTCCCCACAAAGGGCACCTGTCATGATATCTCCTGTCCCTACATGTGGCACCTGGCATTATATCTCCTGTCACCACATGTGGCACCTGACATGATGGCTCACATCACTATGTGTGGCACCTGTCAAGATGTCTCCCGTCACCAAGTGTGGCACCTTTTCATGATATCTCCTACCCCCAAATGTGGCACCTGTCATAATTTATTCTGTCCCTACATGTGGAACTTGTCATGATATCTCCTGTTACTACATGCGGCACCTGTCATGATGTTTCCTGTCCCCACATGGAGCACCTGTCATGATGTATCCTGTCCTCTCATGTGGCACCGCTCATGATGTCTCATGTCCCCACATGGTGCACCTGTCATGATGTCTCCTGTCTCCACATGTGGCACTTGTCATGATGTCTCCTGTCGCCACATGGGGCACCTGTCATGATGTCTCCTGTCCCCACATGTGGCACTTGTCATGCTTTCTCCTGTCCCCACATGGGGCACCTGTCATGATGTCTCCTGTCCCCTCATATGGCACCTATCATGATGTCTCCTGTCCCCACATGGGGCACCTGTCACGATGTCTCTTGTCCCCTCATGTGGCACCTGTCATGATGTCTCCTGTCCCCACATGTGGCAATTGTCATGATATCTCCTGTTCCCACATGGGGCACCTGTCATGATGTCTCCTGTCCCCTCATGTGGCACCTGTCATAATGTCTCCTGTCCCCACATGTGGCAATTGTCATGATGTCTCCTGTCCCCACATATGGCACCTGTCATGATGTCTCCCGTCCCCTCATGTGGCACCTGTCATGAAATCTCCTGTCCCTACATGTGGCACCTGTAATGCCTTTTCCTATCCCCAAATGTGGCACCTGTCATTATTTAATCTGTCCTTACATGCGGAGTCTGTAATGATATCTCCTGTCCCCATATGTGGCATTTGTCATGATGTTTCCTGTCCCCACATGGGTCCCCTTTCATGGTGTCTCCTGTCCCCACATGTGGCACCTGTCATGATATCTACTGACCCTACATATGGCACCTGTCATGATGTCTCCTGTCACCACATGTGACACCTGGCATGATATCCCCGTCACCAAATGTGGCAGTCATCCTGATGTCTCTCATCACCATGTGTGGCACCTGTCATTATTACTCCAGGCACCAAGTGTGGCACCTGTCATGATATCTCCTGTCACCACATGTTGCACCTGTCATGATGTCTCCTGTCAACTCATGTGGCACTTGTCATGCTTTCTCCTGTCTTCACGTGGGACACCTGCCATGATATATTCTGTCCCTACATGAAGCACCTGTCATGCTTTCTCCTGCCTTCACATGGGACACCTGCCATGATATATCCTGTCCCTACATGAAGCACCTGTCAGGATATCTTCTGACCCCATATGTGGCACCCGTCATGTTATCCTTTGTCACCACATGTGGCACCTGTCATGATATCTCCTGTCCCCACATGGGGCACCTGTCATGATGTCTCCTGTCCCCACATGTGGCACCTGTCATGCTGTCTCCTGTCCCCTCATGTGGCACCTGACATGATGTCTCCTGTCCCCACATGTGGCACTTGTCATGATATCTCCTGTCCCCACATGTGGCACCTATCATGATGTCTCCTGTCCCCTCATATGGCACCTATCATGATGTCTCCTGTCCCCTCATGCGGCACTTGTCATGATGTCTCCTCTCCCAACATGGGGCACTTGTCATGATGTCTCCTGTCCCCTCATGTGGCAGCTGTCATGATGTCTCCTGTCCCCTCATGTGGCTCCTGTCATGATGTCTCCTGTCCCCTCATGTGGCACCTGTCATGATATCTCCTGTCCCTACATGTGGCACCCGTAATGCTTTCTCCTATCCCCAAATATGGCACCGGTCATAATTTAATCTGTCCCTACATGTGGAGCCTGTAATGATATCTCCTGTCCCCTCATGTGGCACCTGTCATGATGTCTCCTGTCCCCACATGGGGCACTTGTCATGATGTCTCCTGTCCCCACATATGGCACCTGTCATGATGTCTCCGGTCACCTCATGTGGCACCTGTCATGATATCTCCTGTCCCCACATGTGGCACCCGTCATGTTATCCTCTGTCACCACATGTGGCACCTGTCATGATGTCTCCTGTCACCGCATGTGGCACCTGTCATTCTAACTCTTCTCCCCACATGTGGCACCTGTCATGATTCCTCCCATCACCACATGTAGCACCTGTCATGATATATCATTTGTCCCCAAATGTGGCACCTGTCATGATTCCTCCCATCACCACATGGGGCACCTTACATGATATTCCCGTCACCACATGTGGCACCCATCATGATGTCTCCTGGCACCATGTGTGGCACCTGTCATGATGTCTCCCGGTACCAAGTGTTGCATTTGTCATGATATCTCCTATCCTCAAATGTTGCACCTATCATAATTTATTCTGTCCTTACATGTGGAACCTGTCATGATATCTCCTGTCACCACATATGGCACCTGTCATGATGATTCCTGTCACCTCATGTGGCACCTGTCATGATATCTCCTGTCCCCACATGTGGCATCTGTCATGATTCCTCCCATCACGACATGGGGTACCTGGCATGATATCCCCGTCACCCCATGTGGCACCCATCATGATGTCTCCCTGCACCATGTGTGGCACCTGTCATGATGTTTCCCGGCACCAAGTGTGACACCTCTAATGATATATCCTATCCCTAAATGTGGCACCTGTCATAATTCATTCTGTCCCTACATGTGGAACCTGTCATGATATCTCCTGTCCCCACATTGGGCACCTGTCATGATGTCTCCTGTCACCTCATGTGGCACCTGTCATTATATCTCCTGTCCCCACATGTGGCACCCGTTATGCTATCCTCTGTCAATACATGTGGCACCTGTCATGCTATCTTCTGTCCCAGAATGTGGCACCTGTCATTATATCTCCTGTCCCCACATGTGGCACCTGTCATGATTCGTCCCATCACCAAATGTAGCACCTGTCATGATATCTTCTGTCCCCATATGTGGCACTTGTCATGATGTCTCCTGTCCCCACATGTGGCACCTGGCATGATATCCCCGTCACCACATGTGGCACCCGTCATGATGTCTCCCGGCACCATGTGTTGAACCTGCCATGATGTATCTCGGCACCAAGTTTGGCACCTGTCATGATATCTCCTATCCCAAAATGTGGCACCTGTCAAAATTTATTCTGTCCCTACATGTGGAACCTGTCATGATATCTCTTGTCACCACATGTAGCACCTGTCATGATGTCTTCTGGCTTCACATGTTGCACCTGTCATGGTGTCTTCTGTCCCTACATGTAACCCCTGTCATGATGTCTTCTGGCTTCACATGTAACACCTGTCATGATATCTCCTGTCCCTACTGTAGCACCTAACATGATATCTCCTGTCCCCACATGGGACACCTGTCATGATATCTCCTGTCCCTACAGTAGCACCTAACAGGATATCTCCTGTCCCCACATGGGACACCTGTCATGATATCTCCTGTCCCTACAGTAGCACCTAACAGGATATCTCCTGTCCCCACATGGGACACCTGTCATGATATCTCCTGTCCCTACATGTAGCACCTAACATGATATCTCCTGTCCCCATTTGTGGCACCTGTCACGATTCCTCCCATCACCGAATGTTGAACCTGTCATGATATCTACCATCACCCCATGTGGAACCTGTCATGATATCTCCTGTTCCCACATGTGGCACCCGTCATGCTATCCTCTATCCCAAAATGTGGCACCTGTCATTATATCTCCTGTCCCCACATGTGGCACCTGTCATGATTCCTCCCATTAACACGTGTGACACTTGTTATGATATCTCCAACTACCAAATGTGGCATCTGTAATGATTTATTCTGTCCCCACATGTGGCACCTGTCATATTATCTAATTTCTGACAAACTTTGTATATTGGCTACCAAGTCTTATGAGATGAACGTAAAACACACACAAATGTGATTGCACATATACAATTTGGTACTAGATAATCATTCCGAAATGAATAACACTGCAACGTGCAGCTGTTTCGTACTTCTAGGGCTCATTGGTGATGCTAGAGGCCAAAACGATGGAAATATGAAATGGTCTAAATTCAAAAATTAGAAGTGTACGCTGTCTTCAAGATGAAAAAGTAAACTGAACTCGAATTGCAAGTCTAAAGTCCCATAATTGTGACAGCTGAGATAATATGCTGGCGATGTGTCTAGTAAAGAAAAAATAATTACAGCGCAAATATGAGAAATAAGACAATATCGCGTTCCCAAATGTGACAATAGGGCAAGCTGATCTTAAGAAATTGCGACGTGGGCAGCAGGCATCAGGTGTAACATCTTTGATAATTGATCAGAAGTGTTACGATTGACACAGCAGACAGCCATATTTATAATGGGAATAGCAGATCTCCAGTGTACAATGGGAATAGCAGATCTCAAGTGTTACAATGGGAATAGCAGATATCCAATGTTATAATGGGAATAGCAGATATCCAGTGTACAATGGGAATAGCAGATACCCAGTGTTACAATGGGAATAGCAGATCTCCAATGTTATAATGGGAATAGCAGATCTCCAGTGTTACAATGGGAATAGCAGATATCCAGTGTTACAATGGGAATAGCAGATATCCAGTGTTACAATGAGAATAGCAGATCCCCAGTGCTACAATGGGAATAGCAGATATCCAGTGTTACAATGGGAATAGTAGATATCCAGTGTTACAATGGGAATAGCAGATATCCAGTGTTACTATGGGAATAGCAGATATCCAGTGTTACAATGGGAATAGCAGATATCCAGTGTTACAATGGGAATAGTAGATATCCAGTGTTACAATGGGAATAGAAGATATCCATTGTTACAATGGGAATAGCAGATATCCAGTACTACAATGGGAATAGAAGGTCTCCAGTTACAATGGGAATAACATATCACAAGTATTAACAATGAGAATATCCTATCTCCAGTGTTACAATGGGAATAGCATATATCTAGTGTAAGAATTGGAATAGCAGACCACAAGTGAAACAATGGGAATAGCAAAACAAGTGTTTCAATCGCGTCGTCAGATTCATTTTGGTCTCCCTGGTATCATTAAAAATGATATCGCAGACATGTTATTCTTGACAATATCGGATATCATACTAATTTGTTTTTTATCGCTTTATTTCCACTCTTTAGATACAGCAAATGGCTGCTCCTGTGGAGCGATCACTGAAATAACCAGCATATGTCAGGAGCAGAGCCAAGGCATTAAAGCTACGCTAAATATTCACTGCGGGGGTTTAAATAGTATTATAACTGACTCTAGCTCTCCAGATTCTTTTTTCAAAAGCTACAAACATCACAAGCCTTATCTTTGTAGAAATCTGTTCAGAATTTAACCAGACTTAAAACAGATACTCGAACTGACATGCGACTCATCAACACTAAAAGTGAACTCGGCATGGTAGGCATTGATGTAAGATGTCTGAAATTAAATTCTACTGTATAACCATGTATTTACGTTAACAGAGCATAACACGTGCACGGCTCATTTCTAATGAATCTCACAGCGCTGTCCAAAGTCATCGCACCATTGGACGTTCAGTACTAAACACGGATTGACCGTTAGTTTTCCATAAACTATAGATGGTGACCATGGGTGGTCAGCAATGTTTGTGACATATTTGTGATCTGTGTGCTTGTTTATAGGTGGTAAAAGGTAAGACTGAGTTCCGTCTTCTATCTGTCCGATGGTCGTAATTGTCCTAGATTAAATATACAGGCGTGTACAGATCACTGCCTGGGAATCGATACCATTGAGATCTAATCACCAGAGAAGTACCAGGATAAAACATTGCCAGGCAACTACGGCCGTCCAGATTTACTGAAGTGGCGCACACGGGAACGTATTAAGCTCTTGTGTGTGCTTCGATACGACCTGAACTTAAAACACATAAATGGAAGCATCCAGATACGAGTGTGTTGACGGAAGCAAAAACATTGATGAATGATCAATATCATCTTTAATATGAAACTTCGTTCCAAAATCACAACGTGACGTGGAGCTGAGAGGTTTTGATCACTAACTATTCCTGGAGTATACGCTATTATCACATTTGGTATCAGCCCAGTCGAGTTTGCTGATAACTCGTAGGCAGATTGGTGTCGAGGATATGCAGTGTCCGGATCTGTTTCCATTTCCACGTGAGTAACATTTTTCATGTGTATCAAAGTTAGAAAAAAGTAGTTGTAGTAAAACAAGAAATAGAAGTAACGGTGGTGGTGGCGATGGCGGCAGTTTTTGTAGTAGTAGTAGTAGTAGTAAAACGGCGCTAGTAGTAATATTATTGGTGTTGGTGATGATGGAGGTGGTTTTTGTAGTAGTAGTAGTATTATAAGTTATAGTAGTAACGGTACTAGTAGTGTTAGTATTGGTGGTGGTGTGATGGAGGTGGTTTTTGTAGTGTTAGTAGTATTATAAGTTATAGTAGTAACGGCGCTAGTAGTGTTAGTATTCGTGGTGATGGTGGTGTTGGTGGTGATGGTGTTGGTGGTTTTTGTAGTGGTAGTAGTATTATAAGTTATAGTAGTAACGGCGCTAGTAGTGTTAGTATTAGTGGTGATGATGGAGGTGGTTTTTGTAGTAGTAGTAGTAGTAGTAGTAGTAGTAGTAGTAGTAGTAGTAGTAGTAGTAGTAGTAGTAGTAGTAGTAGTAGTAGTAGTAGTATAGTAGTAGTAGTAGTAGTAGTAGTAGTAGTAGTAGTATAAGTTATAGTAGTAACGGCGCTAGTAGTGTTAGTATTCGTGGTGATGGTGGTGTTGGTGGTGATGGTGTTGGTGGTGATGGTGTTGGTGTTTTTTTGTAGTAGTAGTACTAGTAGTTATAGTTATAGCGATATAATTGGTGATTGTGGTGGCTGCGGTGATGGTTGTAGTGGTGGTGGTGGTTTTGTAGTAGTATAACAGTATCAGTAGTAGTAATAGTAACGACGTTGGTTTAGTGATAGAATTGGTGATTGTGGTGGCGGCGGTGATGGTACCTTTAGTAATAGTAACGGTGGTTGTGATTGTGGTTACGGTAATTTTGCAATCAATTTTCACTTTCCTTAAAAGAAAAACTGATCATGTTTTATGAAAACTCTCAAATGAACATGTTTTAATGCGACTAGGAAGGTTTTTGTGTAATGATAGATTCTTTTTTTCATTACAAAAAATAACGTCAAAGTGACGATAAGTTCAAATAAATCCAATTACGAGTTGTGTTGTGCTTAGATAGTTGAATAAGAATTGAATTGCCCCCACTGATATATGTGAGTCAATTAAAAGGAATTTGTTCACAATCTTCAGAGGTCGGTCAAGTGACGTCATTGTAATTTCTCTCCAAATCACGCTTGGTGTATTTGTTACAAAAGCAAAATGGTTTGATATACAACTTTTCTAATTTGTTTGTACATTTTTAAAGCTGTCAGCTCTAATTGATTACATGTTATTGTGAGCTAACGTTCATTCCAAGATTTCTTTTAAATACAATTATAGTTTGCGTCTAATGAAGGAATTGGTAATACTATCTGATGTTACTGAAATCGTGCCAGTAAACAAGGTCAGATAAGTTTGTACGTTACCCCGAAGCACACACAGTTTCCCCCGCATTTTGATGATAGTTATCAAATGTTTCTCCGGATAACGATTTCCGCTTGTTAGTCTGTATCTGACATTTTGAACAGAAGGGCTGTCTAAATTCCTTTGTTAACTATTCAGAGACTAGCGAGTGTAAAGCGAATCAGATAAAGTGGAAACAATTTGGAGTTATAAATAGATATATTTCCTCTGAGGTTAATGTATCTTGATTTCCTTGTCTTCTTTTGTCCCTTTGTCGTGACTTTGAGTTTTGATTTTGTTCCTATGTTAACGGTCTGGTATATTTTGTCCCTATGTTAACGGTCTGGTATATTTTGTCACTATGTTAACGGTCTGATATATTTTGTTCCTATGTTAACGCTCTGGTATATTTTGTCCCTATGTTAACGGTCTGGTATATTTTGTTCCTATGTTAACGGTCTGGTATATTTTGTCCCTATGTTAACGCTTTGATATATTTTGTCCCTATTTTAACGCTCTGATATATTTTGTTCCTATGTTAACTGTCTGGTATATTTTGTCATTATGTTGACGCTCTGATATATTTTGTTCCTATGTTAACGCTCTGATGTATTTTGTTCCTATGTTAACGGTCTGGAATATTTTGTCCCTATGTTAACGCTTTGATATATTTTGTCCCTATGTTAACGCTCTGATATATTTTGTTCCTATGTTAACGCTCTGGTATATTTTGTCCCTATGTTAACGGTCTGGTATATTTTGTTCCTATGTTAACGGTCTGGTATATTTTGTCCCTATGTTAACGCTTTGATATATTTTGTCCCTATGTTAACGCTCTGATATATTTTGTTCCTATGTTAACTGTCTGGTATATTTTGTCCTTATGTTGACGCTCTGATATATTTTGTTCCTATGTTAACGCTCTGATATATTTTGTTCCTATGTTGACTGTCTGGTATATTTTGTCCTTATGTTGACGCTCTGGTATATTTTGTTCCTATGTTAACGCTCTGGTATATTTTGTTCCTATTTTAACGCTCTGGTATATTTTGTTCCTACGTTAACGCTCTGGTATATTTTGTTCCTATGTTAACGGTCTGGTATATTTTGTCCCTATGTTAACGGTCTGGTATATTTTGTTCCTATGTTAACGGTCTGGTATATTTTGTCCCTACATGTATGTTGACGCTCTGGTATATTTTGTCCCTATGTTAACGGTCTGGTATATTTTGTCCCTATGTTAACGGGCTGGTATATTTTGTCCCTACATTTATGTTGACGCTCTGGTATATTTTGTCCCTATGTTAACGGTCTGGTATATTTTGTCCCTATGTTAACGCTTTGATATATTTTGTCCCTATGTTAAAGCTCTGATATATTTTGTTCCTATGTTAATGCTCTGATATATTTTGTTCCTATGTTAACACTCTGATATATTTTGTTCCTATGTTAATGCTCTGATATATTTTGTTCCTATGTTAACACTCTTGTATATTTTGTTCCTATGTTAACGCTCTGGTATATTTTGTTCCTATGTTCACGCTCTGGTATATTTTGTTCCTACGTTAACGCTCTGGTATATTTTGTTCCTATGTTAACGGTCTGGTATATTTTGTCCCTACATGTATGTTGACGCTCTGGTATATTTTGTCCCTATGTTAACGGTCTGGTATATTTTGTCCCTATGTTAACGGTCTGGTATATTTTGTCCCTACATGTATGTTGACGCTCTGGTATATTTTGTCCCTATGTTAACGGTCTGGTATATTTTGTCACTATGTTAACGGTCTGATATATTTTGTTCCTATGTTAACGCTCTGGTATATTTTGTTCCTAGGTTAACGCTCTGATATATTTTGTTCCTATGTTAACTGTCTGGAATATTTTGTCCTTATGTTGACGCTCTGATATATTTTGTTCCTATGTTAACGCTCTAATATATATTTTGTTCCTATGTTAATGCTCTGATATATTTTGTTCCTATGTTAACGCTCTAATATATATTTTGTTCCTATGTTAACGCTCTGATATGTTTTGTTCCTATGTTAACGATCTGATATATTTTGTCCCTATATTAACGCTCTGATATATTTTGTCCCTATGTTAACGCTCTGAGATAATTTCTCCCCATGTTGACGCTCTGGTATATTTTGTTTCTATGTTGACGCTCTGATATTTTTTGTTCCTATGTTAACGCTCTGATATATTTTGTTTCTGTGTTAACACTATATATATTTTGTTCCTATGTTAATGCTCTGATATATTTTGTTCCTATGTTAACGCTCTAATATATATTTTGTTCCTATGTTAATGCTCTGATATATTTTGTTCCTATGTTAACACTCTTGTATATTTTGTTCCTATGTTAACGCTCTGGTATATTTTGTTCCTAGGTTAACGCTCTGATATATTTTGTTCCTATGTTAACGCTCTAATATATATTTTGTTCCTATGTTAATGCTCTGATATATTTTGTTCCTATGTTAACGCTCTTATATATTTTGTTCCTATGTTAACGGTCTGGTATATTTTGTCATTATGTTGACGCTCTGATATATTTTGTTCCTATGTTAACGCTCTAATATATATTTTGTTCCTATGTTAATGCTCTGATATATTTTGTTCCTATGTTAACGCTCTAATATATATTTTGTTCCTATGTTAATGCTCTGATATATTTTGTCCCTATGTTAACGCTCTGATATATTTTGTCCCTATGTTAACGCTTTGATATATTTTGTCCCTATGTTAAAGCTCTGATATATTTTGTTCCTATGTTAACTGTCTGGTATATTTTGTCCTTATGTTGACGCTCTGGTATATTTTGTTCCTATGTTAACGCTCTGATATATTTTGTCCCTATGTTAACGCTCTGGTATATTTTGTCCCTATGTTAACGCTCCGATATATTTTGTTCCTATGTTAACGCTCCGATATATTTTGTTCCTATGTTAACGCTCCGATATATTTTGTTCCTATGTTAACGCTCTGATATATTTTGTTTCTGTGTTAACACTATATATATTTTGTTCCTATGTTAATGCTCTGATATATTTTGTTCCTATGTTAACACTCTGATATATTTTGTTCCTATGTTAATGCTCTGATATATTTTGTTCCTATGTTAACACTCTTGTATATTTTGTTCCTATGTTAACGCTCTGATATATTTTGTTTCTGTGTTAACACTATATATATTTTGTTCCTATGTTAATGCTCTGATATATTTTGTTCCTATGTTAACACTCTTGTATATTTTGTTCCTATGTTAACGCTCTGGTATATTTTGTTCCTAGGTTAACGCTCTGATATATTTTGTTCCTATGTTAATGCTCTGATATATTTTGTCCCTATGTTAACGCTCTGAGATAATTTCTCCCTATGTTGACGCTCTGGTATATTTTGTTTCTATGTTGACGCTCTGATATTTTTTGTTCCTATGTTAACGCTCTGATATATTTTGTTTCTATGTTAACGCTCTGGTATATTTTGTTCCTATGTTCACGCTCTGGTATATTTTGTTCCTACGTTAACGCTCTGATATATTTTGTTCCTATGTTAACTGTCTGGAATATTTTGTCCTTATGTTGACGCTCTGATATATT